TGTACCAATCCTGAAACAATAGACAAACAACCTAACATCACCTCTGAACATGCCTGTGACTATTGTTTTTGTTTTGATTGGCTGTGATAGTACTGGGGCTTGAACTCAGGGCCTGGGCACTGTACCTTAGCTTTTTCACTTAAGATTGGTGTTCTACTAGTTGAGTATTTGTGGCTTTGAATCACAATCCTCAGATCTCAGCCTTCTGAATAGCCAGGATTACAAGTCTGATCCAACAGTGACTTGTGCTTGTGCTTATGCAAATGTTCTTACTCCTGCTTCCAATTCTCCTTATTGAACTTGAAGCCAATGTCAGTACCCCTGAAGATGGCTGAAGATATACTGAAATGTTGCTTCCCATGGTTGCCATGTAATAAATATCCTTTCTTTGCCTTCACTGTGTCTGTTTATTTAGCATATGCGGGTGAGTGGCTGGACTTAATGTGGACTCCTGGACATTGGGCTTGAGAGTCTAAATGCTTATACTTGCTGGTAAGAAGTATAACTCACATTTTTTGAGACTCTTTCCTTTGGCAGGGAACAGACCCAATGCCAGTTGTAATCTCCAAGAATGTCACCATGTCCCCAAACTCCCACCTGTCTTCTGTTCACATGGGTGGCATCCCTCTCAGTATATCCTGCGCTAGGTCTCCAGGGTCTTTTCTGTTCACCAAGTAATCTCTCTCACTTCCTGGGGCTATTGACACTTCAAATTAAATCCCTTTTCCATTACATTCCCCAGTTCACTTTCCTCTGTCTCATATTCAAATTGAGGAGGTGGGAAGAGAATGGACAATGAGTCTTTGTGAGGAGGGGGTGGAGACTCACGATTTGGAGAGTTAGGGTTTAAAAGTCTTAAAAGTTTAGCTTTGAGATCTTTGCATTTTGAGACATCACAGCAGCCTTTGAGCACCAAAACTTTGCCAGATGGATTCAGTTTTGTTTTGTGTGTTATTTTTAGAATCTGGGTATCAGTTTGCATGAACAGATCCAATGACTATTCAAATTATATACATGTTATTCATCTCTAGAGGAAGCTAGAGTGTTGGAGAACAAGAGTGTGAATTTCCACCAGATGGCACTGTTTAGCAGATAAGGAAGTGGGAACTTTTCCATGGTGTTTGTGAGCAAAGTGGGGAGAGAGGCTGGTGGTGGCCAAAGCAGATTGAACTTTAAAGCCTTGTTTTTCCTTGAGGCAACAGCACTGTTTACACCTCCATGCAGAGGGAGCCAAATTCAGGCTTCATAACTGCAGCAACAAGTATTTTGGGATTGTTTGTGGCTATGCCTTGAGACCAGAGAAACAAAGGGAGCTCTTCCTGGCCATGTACAGTTTTGTCTTTGCTTTTGTTTTTTTGCAGTTAGGCTGGTATGATTACATGTCTTTAATTCCTGGGCTGTTTGCTCATCTCAGTGAACTGACCCTTTCCCTGAGAACCTGAATGCCTCCCTCAGACACTATCCACCTCACAGCCTTCTAATAAGACAGGCCAGAAAACTACATTTCCCAGGATCCCTTGCTGCTGCAGTGCCCTGCCTTTACTCGCTAGTAATATATATGATGGCAGAAAGTTTGAATTCAGAAATGTGTTAAGTAGCAACAGAGACCAGACATAAGGTGATCCTTTTGTTGGTTCAGATTGGAGACAGAACGGTATAGTTCTAGAATTAAAAATTAGGATTGTCGCAGCAGCTTCTCCAGTAAGTATGAGCTTCCTGGCCATAACAGAAACCATTACTCAAGGAATTTCAGCCACACACCAAATTCTTCAACTATCACAGGATTCTGTGAGCCACTTAATATTGTATGGCTAATTCATTTTTGCTAAAAACTAGCTGATGTAAACTGGGCACAAGTGGCTCACACCTGTAATGCTAGCTACTCAGGGGGGTAAGACCTGAGGCTGAAAGATCAAAACCAGCCCAGTCAGGAAAGTCTGTGAGACTCTTATCTCCAATTAACCACCAAAAAGCTGGTTGTAGAGCTGTGGCTCAAGTGGTAGAGTGCTAGCCTTAAGCACAAAAGCTCAAGGACAGCATTCAGGCCCAGAGTTCAAGCTCCAGGGCTGGCACACACACACACACACACACACACACACACACACACACACACACACACAAAACATGGAACTCCCTGAGTGCAAGCTTCAAGCCTCAGTACTGGAATAAATAAATAATCGTTAGTAGAAGTATAGACTTGAGGCTCACTTGGAGAATAAGGAGAATCTTAATGGAAACTGGAGAATAGAACTCTTGTGTTGGAACAGAAAGCTTAGCAATACAATAGCCTGCAGAATGCAGAAAGGACACGGGACTACCTAAAGACTTACTTGTAAGGAACAGAATGGGATAGACACGATGTATGTCACTTGTTAAGATCAAGTTACATAAAGGCACTGTGGTTTCCTTCTTTTCAGGCTTTCTCTTGAATGGCTTGCTCTGGAGGAAGCCAGCTGCCAGTAAGTACACAAAGCCCCACTGAGAGGCTTCTGTGACAAGAAACTTAAGCTTTTAGCTAAAGAGCCAGTAGAGAACTGGCTACCTACCAAGGGAGCTTAGAATCAGATCTTTCAGCACCAGCTGAGACTCCAGGCTAAGGAGCAGAACTCAGTGGTAGAGGGTATGCTTAGCAAGTCTGAGGTATTTGTTATCTTACTACTTATTGTTGTTTCAAGCCATTAAGTTTTTGGAGTAGATGATGAAAACAAAAGGGAAGGTATCATTATGCAGGGGTGCATCCAAGCAACATGAATTTGAGGTTGAATCTTGGGAACATTTTGCTGTATTAGCCTTCAATTGACCTTAAAACTGGCAGTGAAAATGAAATTTAATGTTAACTGAAAATTATGATAACTACAAATAAAATTCATGTTAACTTTAAGAGGAGGGGAGAGTCATCGTGTGATCCTTGAGTTTACAGAAAAACTTGACTTTGTAGCTTCTCCTTAGGGGCAGTTATAAAGTGAAATTTGTCAGTTGAGATGTGTTATCAGGACCGATATGGCTGTGAGCCATGTACTTTTCTTCAGGAGTTGTCCTCACACCCTGGGCCTCCCACAGTTAATCAGGAGAATAAATTGAGTTTAGAGAAAATCTGACTTGATAGAGTTATATAAGGACAGGAGAAGGAGGGAAACAAGAAGAGACTGGGATCTGCCAACATTGTTGGCTGGCATTTAAATGCAGTTTACTTCCAAACATCATAAATACAAACCTGTCACAAATAAATATTTAAGTGGCCCTCAAGAATTTGAACTGAGGGTCTCTATGATTGCTAGGCAGATACTCACACTTAGCCCCGTCAAGTGGTCTTTGAATCATACTTATTGTAATAATTTTCTAAGGAATTTAATTTTAAAAAACGGATGCACTGTCATTCTATATTGTAACAGACATTTTAAGCTTTTTTGGAAAATGTATACTTGGACAATTAACCATCACAATTAAATTTCTTCTTTGCATCACTTTTATATTAACTTGGTCCAAGGCATCCTTAGCTGCTTTGTTTGTTTGTTTTTTTAATCCTCTCCTCATCTCAAGATTTGCTCTCCCAAGAGTTTTTTTTTTCTGTACCTCACATAGAGAAGCACGCTTGTCATATCAGCTGTCTGGGAAGCAGACAGGATAATCTCAACAACCCAAGAAAAGTTAGGGAGACCTTGTTTCAGAAATAAGTCGGGCATCCACTATGTTGTAGGTCCTACTACCCAGAATCACGGATCCCAGGCCAGCCTGGGCAAAGTGCAGCACCTGCAAAAGGACTGAGGGTGTGCGGCTCAAGTGCACACCAAGAGTAGAGTACCTGGGTTCCATCTTCAGTATCGTAAAAAGAAAACAGCAAGCGAAGTAATTTTACTCGCCTGTAATCCTAGCTACTCGCCTGTAATCCTAGCTACTCGCCTGTAATCCTAGCTACTCGCCTGTAATCCTAGCTACTCGCCTGTAATCCTAGCTACTCGCCTGTAATCCTAGCTACTCGCCTGTAATCCTAGCTACTCGCCTGTAATCCTAGCTACTCGGGGGGGTTGAGATCTGAGGATCGTGGTTCCAAGCCAGCCCAGGCAGGAAAGTCCATGAGATGCTGGTCTCCAAATTAATCACGGAAAAAGCCGGAAGTAGAGTGCTAACCTTGAGCAAAAGCTCAGGGACGGCACCCAAGCCCAGAGTTCAAGCCCCAGGACCGGCAAAAGGAAGGAAGGAAGGAAAGAAGGAAGGAAGGAAGGAAGGAAGGGAGGGAGGCAGGGAGGGAGGGAGGCAGGGAGGGAGGGAGGGAGGGGACATGTCTATTTTTCCAGTCTCTGTGTCTGTCTCTCCCTTTCTGTCTCTGTCTCTCTCTGTGTCTGTCCGTCTGTGTGTGTCTCTCTGTCTCTCTCTTATTTATTGTGATGCAGATGGATCCCAGGCCTTGTGCGCACTAGGCCAGCGCCCCGTCCCTGAGCGGCCACCGCCGCTGTCCTGCCAGTTCAGAGTCTGCCCCAGGGACTTCCGAGGGTGGCTAGGCTGTTCCTGGGTTTTTGTTTCTCATTAGTGCTGCGTAACCGCTCTAATGAAAAGTCTAGACCTCAGAGCTAACCAGCTAGCATGTCGGTTGTTCTGAAGTTTGGGGTGGAGGAAGAATCCAGTGATCCCAGGTCGAGGTTCCAGTCTCACCCGGGTGTGACCCGCGCGTGCGGACGCCGGCGCGGGGCTGGCGTCCCGGCTCCGCGTACCCCCCAGTCAGCCGGAGGCACAGTGTGCGCTCGCGGGCCCGGGGGCCCGGGGGATCCGGAGGCGCAGTCCGAGCTCAGGCTGCGGGAAGCCCGGCGGCCCTGGCGAGCGCAGCCCGCTTCCCGCAATGCACCGACCGGACGCGGCCTGGCTGCTCGGGGCGGTGGCCCGGGGAGCCGCCTGCGGTGGTGGAGGCGGAGTCCGGGGCGAGGCGGGCCGTCACCTGACTCGGGTGACTCGGATCGGGCTGCACTTCCTCCTCCCCGGGGCCGGGACGGTAGACGCGATCGCGGGCGCTCGGGCTGCACAGAGCCCTCGGAGCAGCCATGGAGCCGCGCCCGCCGCCTCCGCCGTCCCGCGCTCGGGGGTCCGGGCTGCTGCTGGCGCTGCTGGCGCTGCTGGCGCAGGCCTGGCCGGCCGAGGCCGACCCGAGGCCGGCGCTGTGGCCCATGCCGCTCTCGGTGCGCATGTCCTCGCGGCTGCTGCACGTCTCCCCGGAGAACTTCTTCATCCGCCACGGCCCCAACTCCACGGCGGGACCCTCCTGCTCCCTGCTGCAGGAGGCGTTTCGGCGGTGAGCAGCCCCGAGCCGGGGGCGGGGGCGGCGGAGCGCCGGGCGGAACGGTGGGGACCCCCGCGGGGTGCGGCGCACGGCGCCTCCAAGCCCTGCGGACGGGGCGCGGGGCGCGGGGCGCGGGGGTGGAAACCCACGCCTCTGACCCTCCCGGGGGCGTGGGAAACGGCGGCTCAGAATAACCCAGTTGGCTGTTCAGGTCTGTCACCTCGTTTGGCCCGGAAGGACAAATGAGTGGATGATGGGTGGGGGGCGGGGGAGGACTGGTGTCGCGGATTGGATAGGGATGAGGGCCACTGGCAGGACTTGCTTGGAGACGCTGGTTTTATTGGGGGAAGGGGCAGGGACCCCCCCCCCAAGTTTTCCCTTACAAGCCAGGCTTTTATTTGCTCTCCAGATGAACAATTTGGTTGGCAGAAGACCTCAAGTTGGAAGCGCTGTGGGGACCCCCCCCCCCCACACACACACACTTGCAAACTGTTCCTATAGACAATGTGAGACGAGCTAGGCTCAACCTTTTATAGGGCCTGTTCTCTGGCCGTTGCCTGCGGGGTCCTTTTGTTGCCCCCACAGTCTCCTCATTAACAGAACTGGAAACCTCTGAGTTACTCAGTGCCTCCCCTGTTCCTTAGTCCCCCGCAGCTCTACCAAAGAGTCCCAGAAGGATGCCGGTCACTGGGAGGTTCCACAAGTAGACCAACCGCAGGCACACGCTGGCGGGTTGTGTTTGAGGAGCTGATCGGTTGTGCCGCCTGCTGTCCCCAGTGACCTGTGTAGGTGGGACTGTCCTGAAAGATTGGTGCTCCTCCGTCTCCTTTCACTCCTAGGTTCCGTCTCTGCATCTAGGAATTACCACTGCTGCCTACTTTTGCCTTCAAGACACCAAATAGCTAGAGGAAATGCAAAGCCAGATTAAAGAGAAGAAGCCTTCTCTTTATGTTCGGGTGGAAGGGACCTGAGGTGGTGTTGGCAGAGCTGGCTCATGCTCTGCTCTGCTCCCTTCTCCCCATACTGCTGGGGTTTCTCCTCGGTACCTCAAACCCTTTCTTAGCTTTTTCCAACCAAGGCTAGTACTTGACCCCTTGAGCCACCAATTTTTGCTTGTTGCAATATAAAAACCCTTTGAGCCAATGCATCAGTGGCTCACGCCTTTAATCCTAGCTACTCAGGAGGTTGAGATCTGAGGATTGAGGTTCAAAGCCAGCCTGGGCAGGACTCTTATCTCCTGCTAACCACCAGAAAACTGGAAGTGGTGCTATGGCTCAAGAGGTAGAGTGTTCTCCTGGAACTGAAGAGCTCAGAGACAGCACCCAGGTCCAGAGTTCAAGACCCATAATGGACTTCCCCTCGCCCCCCCCCCCCCAAAAAAAAGGAGCTTCTTGGATTTATCTGCCTGGGCTGGTTTTAAACTTCAGTCTTCAGACCTCAGCCTCCTGGATAATCAGGATTACAAGTGTGAACCACCAGCCCTAGGTTTCTCTTTTGCCCAAGTAGTGCTCAATCTGTAATGTTTTAGTATTGAACCTGCTAACAGGTAGGGCTGTTATGGGGACACACTAAAATCAAAGGGGTTATCTTGAGGGATGATCATGATTGTAAGTGACTTGAACATTTTTAAAAAGATCTTACCTAGGACTGGCAGTTTTACAAACATCATTGCCTGATTGGCTTTGGAACTCATTCTGCTTGGTGATAAAATAACAAAGTATGAATGACATTACTTAATGGGTACATAAACCAGACTGAATCAGCTAGAAGCTAGCTCAGAAACTAGGTCTGGCATTTCAAGACTGGTGTCCTAGGCGTTTTCTTAATAAGCCCTGGCCTGTGTGGGAAGCACTACTAATTGTACCTGGCATTGTTTGGAAGCAGGTTGTAAAACATTGCTAAGATTCGAAAGCATGAGGTTGAGCTTTGGAGGAACACAGGGGCTAAGGTTATCTCAGAGGAAAAACATGATGGGCTTGAAGTGCTTTGTGGTGTGGGGGTATTTAGAAAACTCTAGGTTGAGGGAACACACAGAGCCCAGGCCCAGGAAGTTCAGAATTCTTATGCCTCATGTCTTTGTAAAGCGGTCAGTTTACACCATATGAGGCACTCATATATATATTTTTTACATAAATGAATAGCTTCAATCTATTACTTCCTAAAAGGCTAGTCAACACCTAACCCAGATCTCAGAGTAATGCTGGGGAACCAAATACAGGGGTTGGCAAATACCACGCCAGTGCTTTACCACATCTGTTGACCCCTTACTTTCCTTCTACATAAAAACATACAGTTTACCATCTTAACTTTTTTTTAAAGTATATGCTTAAGTGGTCTTAGTTTTTTTTCTAAAGCTATCAAAGCTTTCCTGTGAGAAAGGCCCTTAGTACCATCCATTATCTTCTCTCAAAGGTCTACTTCCATATATATCCAAAGTCATGGAATTTTCCTACTCAGTCTTCCTGCTCCTCTAGAAAAGCACAAGATGTTTTTCTATCAAAATAGCACATACAATCTTGGGGCTATCAAAAGTCAATAAAATGTTTAAGCAGTTGCTTTGAAGCCTATCTGATCTTTCTTCTTCAGCATCTTTTAATTCTTATTTGCTGTTCTTTGTTGTTGTTGTTCACTCCCCTTCTCCCCTAGACAGGGTCTCACCATGTAATTAGTTCACGCTGGCCTGGATCACTAGGTAGCTAAAACAAGTTTTGGATTCTCAATCCTTTTACCTTAGCCTCCCAAGTGCTGGGATTACAGGAGTGAGTGAATCACCATACCTGGCCTCATTGCTGGTCTTTAACAGAGACTTCATTTGAGTCACTTAGGAGCATTCAAACTTCTCAGAAGTCCTAATCTAGAGATCTGTACATCAGGAGTGTGTGTGTGTGTGTGTGTGTGTGTGTGTGTGAGAGAGAGAGAGAGAAAGAGAGAGAGAGAGAGAGAGAGAGAGAGAGAGAGAGAGGGAGAGAGAGAGAGTCCTGAGGCTTGAGACTGTTCCTGAGCTTTTTTACTCGACTAGTGCTTTAGCACTTGAGTCACAGCTCACTTCTGGCTGAGAGAGAGAGTGTGTGTGTGTGTGTGTGTGTGTGTGTGTGTGTGTGTGTGTGTGTATGTGTTAGTCCTGAGGCTTGAACTCAGAGCCTAAGACTGTTCCTGAGCTCTTTTACCCGACTAGTGCTTTAGCACTTGAGTCACAGCTCACTTCTGGCTTTTTGGTGGTTAATTGAACGTAAGAGTCTTACAGACTTTTCTTACTGGGGCTGGTTTGAACTTCGAACTTCAGATCTCAGCTTCCTGAGTAACTAGGATGATAGGTGTGAGCCACAGCACTTGGCTTGGATTGTTAACTCCTAAAGCAGTTCTGATGTACAGCTTAGGTGCACATTCCTAGTTTGACACCATGGGAGGCATAGACTTAAGGTGACACTGTTTAAAATTTGGCCAGAATGCATTGAAACTCGTTGAACATGACTTCTTCCCACAGATATTACGACTATATTTTTGTTTTCTACAAGTGGCATCACGGCCACTCCAGAGTCCGAGCTGGGTCACAGCTGCAGCAGCTTGTCGTCTCAATTGTCCTGGAGTCGCAGTGTGATAGTTTTCCCAGTGTGTCCTCAGATGAGTCCTGTAAGTACCCACTGTGAATGTAATGCCCCGGTCACGACAGGCACTCTTAGCATAGTAAGTGCCAAAGGGAAGGCATAGACCACTCAAATAGAATAGCCACTTTAGGTTGGGAATGTGGCTTCATGGCAGAGTGCTGACCTAGCATTCATGAAGCCCTGGGTTCAATTCCTCAGTACCACATAAGCAGAAAAAGCCAGAAGTGGTGCTGTGGCTCAAGTGGTAGAGTGCTAGCCTTGAGCAAAAAAAGCCCAGGCCCTGAGTTCAAGCCCCAATACTGGCAAAAAAAAAAGAAAGAAAGAGCCACTTGATTACAGGTTTATGTACATTTTTACAGCATAAAATGTTTAAATGTTTTATATAGATGTAGACATTAACATGAACATGGAATAATTATACATGTGGATCCTGGACACAAGGTTTTTGTTGTTTTTGTTTTTGCTCTTCCTGGGGCATGAACTCAGGGCCTGGGTCCTGTCAGTAAGTTTGTTTTTTGCTTAAGGCTAGTGCTCTACCACTTTGAGCCACAGAGCCATTTCCAGTTTTCTGGTGATTAATCAGAGATAAGAGTCTCATGGCCTTTCTTGCCCTGACTGGCTTTGAACTGCAATCCTCAGTTCTCAGCCTCCTGTGCCCAGCTTTGCTTTGCTTGCTTGCTTGCTTGCTTGCTTCCTTCCTTCCTTCCTTCCTTTCTTTCTTTCTTTTCTTTTTTTTTTTTTTTTTTTTTGCATACCTCAGTTCTCACATTTTAGCATCCTAAGTTGCTAAAATAACAGACATGTACCACCACTGCTTGGTTAGATGAAATTTCTTTATACATTCTTTTGAAAATGGATTTATCTTGTCAAGGCATTATCCACACATTATCTTGTCAAGGAAGCTTTGCTGTCAGACAATGTGGATGACATTTTGCAAGTTGTAAAAGAGAAATTGCATTGAAACTGGAGAGTCATAGCTTATCTTCCAGTCAGCTCACCGCAGCCTCTGCTGTGGGAGCTGAAGGGGAATGCTGAAGGGGAAGCATTTTAGGGTTGGGCGGGTCAGTACTGGAGATTGAACTCGTGAGCTCAGGGCCTCACTCTTGCTAGGTTGGCATTCCACACTTTGAGCCATGCTCCCAGTCCAGGAAACTTCTTCAAAAAGTGATTGCAAAATCATGTGGTTTGTGATTGTGACATTTTCCTCTATCAGCTGTTTGTATTAGTTGTTGTTGACCATGGAAGTTAATGCATATTAACTTTTTCCCTGAAATAACAAGAATCCAAGAAGGCTAAGAACGTGAAGGAAGTTGGAGGAAGTGGCAGGGGTCAGAGCACACTTAGGAGCTAAGTTATGAGGTTTGGTGGTAGAGAACTTACTTATACAAGGTCTTATGTTCAGTCCTCAGCACTACAAAAAAAAAAAAAAGCAGAAAGAAACAAGAAACAAAGACAAAACACTATCAACATTAAGCCAAGTACTGGGTTCACACTTACAATTTTAGCCACTCAGGAGGCTGAGATCTGAGGATTGTGGTTCAAAGCCAGCCCAAGCAGGAAAGTCCATGAGACTCTTATCTCCAGTAAACTACTCAGAAAAAGCCACAAGTGGCACTGTGGCTCAAGTGGTAGAGCACTAGTCTTGAGCACAAAGAGGCTCAGGGACAGTGCCCAGGCCCTGAGTTTGCCCCAGGACCGGCAAATAAATAAATAACAGATATAAAAATTGAAATCTATAGCTGTGACATCAATCCCCTCATTACTATAAATGAATTAGCATCTTGAGCCTAGCAGCCATTCCTCAGCTATTGAAAAATAATCAGTACAAGCACATCCAAGCTTTGCTGATAACTCTTTTCCAAGACATCTCAAAGTCATAATGTGACAAAGTGGTTTCTAAATGGTGACTGATGGACAGTGAGCTCTAAATAGGAAGTTAAGAATTGTGTATGGATGGAGAGAAGACATGATTTTTCTTTTTTGTCTGAGACAGGGATTCGAACTCTTGATCCGATGCTTTTGCTTATTGGCTGACACTCTACCACCTGAGCCATGCCTCCAACCCCAGAACATAATTATTTTTATACCATGCTCACACTAGAAATTTGTAGGCTGGAAGTTTGCTGTCTCAGTACTATTCTGATAGAGAAGCTATCCTGTCAGAAGACTGTCAGCTGAGAGGGTCACGTGATTGGTACATATGACCTACTTGCAGATTGTCCTGTGACGGTAGTGTGGGTGATGGTATTGGAAAGTGATGATCTAGTCCACAGGATATAGCATTAAATCATTAACCCCTAGTCCTGGAGTGTCTTCACCATGGCAAAGTCTGCACTTGCCACGCCTTTAGCTGTCAGTCTCTGTGCCCTCCAGAGCTGTCTTTTCTGTGGCTGGTGTATCAATTTCACAGATCTCTCTCAAAGACTATACCAGTTGTGGGCCAGCCTTCGGAGAATGTGATTTCAAAAACTGAAAGGGGGGCTGGGAAGGTGGCTCAGCGGTAGAGCGCTTGCCTTGCATGCCTGAGGCCCTGGGTTCGATTCCTCAGCACCACCTAAGCAAAAAGAAAAAAGCCAGAAGTGGCGCTGTGGCTCAAGTGGTAGAGTAGAGCGCTAGCCTTAAGCTGAAGAGCTGAGGGACAGCGCCCAGGCCCAGAGTTCAGGTCCCATGACCGGACCCCCCCCCCCCCAAAAAAAAAAAAAACCTGAAAGGTGTGGATGGGTACCAGTAGCTCACACCTGTTAGCTACTCAGGAGGCTGAGATCTGAGGATCACAGTTCAAAGTCAACTCGGGCAGGAAAGTCCATGAGACTTATCTCCAAGAAAGCACCAAAAAGCTGGAAGTGGAGTAGTGACTGGAGTGGTAGAGTGCTAACCTTGAGCAAAAAAAAAAAAAAACTATGGCCAGTGCCCAGGACCTATATTCAAGTCCCAGGATGGGCATAAAACAAAACAAAACTGCCCAAGGAGCAACCTGCTAGAGTTCCTTTCTTGATGAATGTGAGCTTTTAGTGGAAAAAGCCAAAGGAAGTTAGAGAGCAAGTCTTAAGGAAGGCAGATTATTCCAGATGATACTGAGGCAATTGGACAAAACGGAAGGAAACAGTGGAGATAATACTCTGGGCTTTGAGGAGTTGGAGGTTTGAGTGGCCAAAGGAATTGTGGATATTACAGTATTTGCAGATCTGACTTCAGATCTCAGCTTAGCCAGGACCCTACTTTGTAGAGAGGCAGTTGAAAAACATGAGGAGTCCAAGAGACGTCACCTACAGGCCTAATTTGAGCAGCTTTACTGCCTGGGTCGTGGCACTGTCATGCGCTGAATTGAACGCAGGAGTGGGATGGATTGGAGTGATGTGGGAGGAGTCTCACTGGACACAGGTGGAGTTTAAACAATCTACAGGACAGCTAGGTGGAGATAGGCTAGAGGAAAGGGAAAAATGGCCCGGATTAACAAAAGCCCACCTCTCTTCCATGTAGATACTCTACTTGTGCAAGAACCAGTGGCTGTGCTCAAGGCCAACAGAGTTTGGGGAGCCTTACGAGGTAAGTTCTACACAGTTTCTTTGTTTCTAGTAAACTTGGTGCTTTGTGAAATGAAGCACAGCCTAACAGTGCTGCCTTAGACCCATTACAGGGTACATTATTATAATTTTTTAAACTTTCTTTTTTAAAAATTTTCTGGGGCTGGGAAGGTGACTCAGTGGTAGAGTGCTTGCCTCGCATGCATGAGGCCCTGGGTTCCATTCCTCAGTACCACATACACAGAAAAAGCTGGAAGTGGTGCTGTGGCTCAAGTGGTAGCGCACTAGCCTTGAGCTGAAGAGCTGAGGGACAGTGCCCAGGCCCAGAGTTCAAGCCCCATGGCCGGGGGAAAAAAATTTTTTTTTTCTGTTGGTTGTAGGGCTTGAACTCAAGGCCTAGGCGCTATCCTTGAGCTTTTCTGCTCAAGGCTATTGCTCTGCCACTTTGAGCTACAGCTCCAATTCTGGTTTTCTAGTGGTTAATTAGAGGTAAGAGGCTCACAGATTTTCCTGCCTAGGCTAGTTTTGAACCTTAATCCTCAGCTCTTAGTCTCCTGAGTAGCTAGGATTATAGGTATAAGTTACTAGTGTCTGGCTTTGGATGCATTATTTATTTCCAAGGTTAGGTACTACCTAATGCACAACAGAAACCGCATTTGAACTTGTCCAAAATATATTCAAAGGTTGTAAGGCTTCTACAGGGCAGAAATTAACTGATGTTCTTGGGGCTAGAATGTTCTAAATGGCCCTGGACTGTTGTGCTTAGAAAATTCTGTTTCAGCTAGTACTTCTTGCTGCCTTTAGTAGCAAGTATCTCTTCACTAATTTTAAATTCATGGAAATTTAGAGATATAATTAAGTTTATTAGAACAGTGTGAAACGATTAATAGGCTGTGGAGTTGGTTAAGAGCAGTTTTGAAAGTTTTCTCTGTGAATTTCAGGATCTTACCTTCAGAGTTTAGCATGGGGACATTTACTTTTGCTGTTCAAAAGTTGCTTTTAGGGAAATAGATATCACATTGACTTATAAATAGATTTTTTTTTGGTCAGTCATGGGCTTGAACTCTTGGCCTGGGCGCTGTCCCTGAGCTCTTCAGTTCAAGGCTACTGCTCTGCCACTTTGAGCCACAGCACCACTTCCAGTTTTCTGGTGGTTAATTGGAGATGAGTCTCATGGGCTTTCCTGCCTGGGCTGGCTTTGAACGGCGATCCTCAGATCTCAGCCTCCTGAGTAGATAGGATTACAGGCGTGAGCCACCAGTACCCTGCTCTTAACAGAATTTTTTAAAAAGGGAAATTTAAAAAATGTGAGCTAGCAAGACATAATAAGTTGCTAGGCAGGCATTCCTCCCACTTGGTCCGTGCCTCCATCCATTTTTGCTTTCATTAAAAAAAAATAAAGTTGCCGGGCGCTGGTGGCTCACGCCTGTAATCCTAGCTACTCAGGAGGCTGAGATCTGAGGATCGCCGTACAAAGCCAGCCCGGGCAGGAGAGACCGTGAGACTCCTATCTCCAATAAACCACCAGAAAACCGGAAGTGGCGCTGTAGCTCAAGTGGTAGAGCGCTCGCCTTGAGCTGAAGAGCTGAGGGACAGTGCCCAGGCCCAGAGTTCAAGCCCCACGACCGACAAAAAAAAAAAAGTCTTACCTTTTTGCTGGGGCTAGCCTGGATCTCAATTCTCCTGTTAAGCTTCCTGCATGGCTAGAATGACAAGTATATGCCACCATGCCCAGCTTTTGTACTGGTTCAAATAGGTCGTGAGAACTTCTTCCTAGGACTGGTTTTGAATGGCAGTCCTCTTGATCTCCAGCTCTTGAGTGGCTAGAATTACAGTCATGTGCCACCATACCCAGCTTATTATACCATAAAAATGGTAGGATTACATTACTTCATTAGAATATGAAGTCATCTGTGGGTATTTATTATTAATGTGACTGCAATGATTATCATTTGGGTCATTTATATAGAATGTCATATGGTTTCTTTGTCTGCCTGTCTTTTTGGGCATTTGTTAGGGAGAATAGATTCTTTTTTTTTTTATTGTGAAAATACTGTACAGAGGGGTTACAATTACAATTATAATGAGTACATTTCTTATCAAGCATTGTAGCCTCCTCCTTTGTTTCCCCTTCCCATCCCTTCATATCCTCCCCTCGCCCCCACAATCTGCCCCACACCCCCCCCACCCCTGCACCAAAGTTGTAAAGTTCGTTTTCGACATAACGACTTGTACATCTCATTGTTGCAGTGGGTCCACCTGTATCCCTATTTAAACGATTTGTTTTTCCCCTTCCCCTCCACAAATTATCAAATACATCAAATACAGTGAAAGCAGGGGTTATACTGTGGGAGAGGGACATACAAAGTAACAAAGAAATAATCTTATAAATGTGTTAGAAACAATCGCATGAAAAAAAAAACATTTGAACACATATCTTAGGGTTCATTTCCCTAACATCACCTTATCTGACCTTTTCTGCTTGACTCAGACATATACTAGATATTGCAAATAAGGGAAACCATGGGACCTATGTTTCTTTGGGCTTGGCTTACTTCACTTAATATAATTTTTTCCAAGCCTTTCCATTTCCTAACAAATGGGGCAAAGTCATTCTTTCTGATGGAGGCATAGAATTCCATTGTGTATATATACCACATTTTCTTGATCCATCCATCTACTGAGGGGCATCTGGGTTGGTTCCATATCTTAGCTATAGTAAATAGTGCTGCAATAAACATAGTCGGGGCTGGGAAGGTGGCTCAGTAGTAGAGCGCTTGCCTTGCATGCTCAGGGCCCTGGGTTCGATTCCTCAGCACCACATAAGCAAAAAGAAAAAAGCCGGAAGTGGCGCTGTGGCTCAAGTGGTAGAGTGCTAGCCTTGAGCTGAAGAGCTGAGGGACAGTGCCCAGGCCCAGAGTTCAGGCCCCATGACCGGACCCCTCCCCCTCCCCCCCAAAATAAACATAGTCGTGCTGGTAGCTTTAGTGTGTTCTTGTTTGTAAACATTTGGGTAAATGCCCAAAAGTGGGATTGCTGGGTCAGAGGGGAGCTCTATGTGTGGAGTCTTTTGAGGAACCTCCATACTACTTTCCAAAGTGGTTGAACAAGTTTACACTCCCACCAACAATACAGTAAGATTCCCTTCTGTCCACATCCCCTCTAGCATCTGTTGTTTTTAGAGTTCTTGATTTTAGCCATTCTAACTGGAGTGAGGTGGTATCTAAATGTTATTGTTTGTTCCACTCTATACTAAAATGAGGAACTTAGAGTATTCAGTGACTAGAGACTTTAGTCCGAATAGTCTGTATTTTATCTTTGCCAACATACTTTCTAAGTGATGCTCTCTAATGCAATGTAGGTTACTTAACAGAGAATTTTAGTTATTTTTCTCAGTGTGAACCTGTTTATCAGGAGCATGGAAAGAGAGGAAGGCATAGCAAAAATGGCTTTGAACTATCCTTATGTTAAAAATTTTCTCTGGTACCAGGTATTAGTGGCTCACACTTGTAATCCTAGCTACTGAGGAGGCTGAGATCTGAGGATCATGGTTCAAAGCCAGTTAGGGCAGGAAAGTCAGTGAGACTCTTTATCTTCAATTAAATACTAAAAAAGCTGGAAGTGAAATTGTGGCATAAGTGGTAGAATGCTAGCCTTGAGCAAAAAAAGCTTAGGGACAACGTCTAGGCCCTGAATTCATGCCCCAAGATGGGCACAAAAAAAATAAATTCCTTGGCTATTACAAGTGATTAGGAAGAATGATGGTTATTGATAAAGTGAAGGCCAGTTAAAGAAATTAGCCTGTCATCCAGTAGCTCAGGGAAAAACTCACTTGTGTAAAAGTTCAGGATTTTACTGTGAGTGAAACACACTTAAGTTGTAAATTGGGCCTCCAGTTACAGTTTCATGTTAAGTTTGGGTACCTTTCAAATTAACTGTAATATTTGATCATGGAAATTCTCAGAGCACTATGTATTTCTTAAGGAACTAGTACTGCTAAATAGTGGGATTGACTTCTTTAAAATTCAGCTTTGGGTTTTGAAAATTTACTAGAGAATTTAACTATAGAGCTCTACTTTAGAGTGATCGACCCAATACTGTATTTTAATTCATTTGCCTAACATGGGTATGGATTTGTCTGGAAAATACAATTTTATTGTCTCAATTTTATTGTTTCATAAATTAATACAATCAATTTTACCTTCTGTAGGTTTGGAGACCTTTAGCCAGTTAGTTTACAAAGATTCTTTTGGGACTGTAAGTATGATTTTATTATTAAAAATTATTGCATAGACATATTACTATTAGAAAAATATAGCCTGTTTAGCTACTACTCCTTGAAAGTTTCTGTTCCCTAAATATTTATTTTGGCTGACAAATTTCTACCAGTACTGGAACTTGAACTCAGGGCCTCATACTCTTAGATAACTTTTTTGTTCACGATTATTTTTCTGCCACCTCAGTCATAACCTCCACTTCTGGCTTTTTACTTGTTAATTGGAGATTAGAGTTTCTTGGATTTGTCTGCCTAGGCTGGATTTGAACTTTGATCCTAAGATCTCAGCCTCCTGAGTAGCTAGGGTTATAGATGTGAGCCGCCAACATCTAGCAATTTCATGTTTTTTGTTGTTGTTTTTCTCAACTAAATTTTTTATCCAGTATTTATTGGGGATATTTATAGTTTTTATTGGGTTCGAGGTAAGAGAAAATTCTAAAATTAAATCAAAATTTTATTTTGTCTCCTAGTTTACCATCAGTGAGTCCACGATTACTGATTCTCCGAGGTTTCCTCATAGAGGAATTTTAATTGATACATCCAGGCACTACCTGCCAGTTAAGACTATTCTTAAAACTCTGGTAGGTAATGGCTTTATTCTAGTCTATGTCTGTTCTGCAGATGTGTCCCCTTAGTGGTGCTGCTTATATCGGTTACTTGTGCTACCGTTTAGGGTGAAGTGGGAGGATTTGTTGTTGTTTTTCTACTATGTAGAACAAGCACTGGGATTTCTCCCTTCTCTCCCTATGTGTTTTCTCAGCTTGGAATTGGGGATCAGGGGATCACTCTCCCATTTTTACTTGGATGATCTCAGACAACATATATAGCCAAGACAGTTAGAAGAAAAACAGGATGTTTGTTGTTGTTATTGTTGCTAATGTTTTGTTTTTGAGATAGAGTCTCAAAAGCAGGCCAGGCTGATCTTGAACTCAAGGTATTCCTGCCTCAATCTCCTGAGTGCTGGGACTATATACACTTACCACCATATGTGGCAAGAAAGTTTACTGCCATTGGGCCTCTATGGGTACTGTGATTTGTCAAATCAGGTGTGTAGATTTTTAGTTTAGAACATATTCCACCATACTTCTACCTAGTGTCCTTTGATTTTGTTACCCACACCTTTTTCAAAAATGGCACAAGAAGGGGTCTAAGAGTTGTTTTAGTTTAAGGAAATGTTCCCAAATAATATGCAACCTCAGAGGTAGTGGAAGATAAGAAGAAAGTTGAGCTTAGCTGTTTTATCCAAAGACTGTATATTGGGTCATTCTATCACCTGTCAACTGACTACAATCCTCTTTTACTTATTAACTGTATTATTTCTGTTAAGAAATGTAAACATTTACATGCATAAACATTTACATGTATGTTACTATAACTAGCTATTAGGTAAGAGACAGCCACTATATCCGTTTTATCTCTTCCAGGGTTAATGCCTTACTTGTTGATTTAGGAATTTTTCCATGTTGTGTTGTATGTAGATTGTGTCATGGGTGTTATTCTGTTTGCTTATAATTTTCCCATTGTTTTCAATACAACAGATGTTAACTACTAAATCCCATTAATAATATAGTTTCTGGAATTTCAAGCCTTACCAGTTTATCTTCTTCAGCCAGTACAGATCATTTTAATTCTTTCTGTAGCTTTAGAAATTTTGTGGGTTTTTTTTTTTTCTTTTGAGGTAATTCTAATTTTGATACCATCTGTGTATGTAAGCTGTTTCTCAACCTCAACAGTCAGATCTCTCCCCTTGATGGAGGGAAAGGGCCTTCAAGTTTTGATGATCTGGCAGGTCATTTCTACCCTCTTACTATTTTTTATTGTTTTTATTCCTTCAGGGCTTAACATTAAATCAATATGGCAATGTGCCCAAACATTTCTCTGGGAGAGTATGCTGAGTTTGTAATGATTTTGTTTTCATTTCTCAGGATTTATCACATTTCAGAACTATGGTAATTATAATCCTTGATACAAACAAATGCCTCATTTTTCCTCCATTCCATTCCCAATCACAATGGTAGTCAAGAACTGTTTCTGCCCTAGCACATCCCTAAACCCTGGGAATTTCATCAGATGTTGTGCTCCATAGAGCAAGGTGTCAGCTGACTGTCAAATACATGTGACCGATATAAGCTTCCTGAATAGGCACATGTCATGCAAACTAGGTAGGATGAGGAACTTACACTTTTTCTATTATTCTTTCTTTACCATTAAAACATTTTTTTAAGGGGACAGGCTTATTGGAAGCAATCTCAGATGTAGATATGTGATGTGGATTGCGGATGTTTTCTGGCATATAATAATCCTTAACATGTTTGCTTGCAGGATGCCATGGCTTTCAATAAGTTTAATGTCCTCCACTGGCACATAGTTGATGACCAGTCTTTCCCTTATCAGAGCGTCAGTTTTCCTCAGTTAAGCAATGAAGTGAGTAATGCCTATTACTATGGCTCTCTACAAAAATCTTTGGTATAACTTCATTAGAAGGTTACAGCTTAAGTGGTTTTTCTTAAAAATCAATCTGTAAATGTTAGCTATTTGTGGCTTAAAAGTTCTAGCATTGTCGATCCATAAAACTTTTTGTTATTGTTATATTATAAAGGCTACTATAATGATTGTTGTAAACATTATCATAAATATAAATAATCTACAGGAGATATATAATTTTAAGAGCTTAATGTAGAAGTTCTGACTATTTCATGAATAAGATATAGTTAAAATTTGTGTCAGGTAGGCAGACAGTATATTTGTTTTAAACAGAATTGTCTGGAAATGTGTAAATGACTGTTTCTTTTTTCCTCTGAAGTTCCAATGAAGTGGGATCTTTTAGAGATGAACTCTTTCTAAGAAAACATTGGTGGTCTCTGCTAAATGTGTTCACATGGAATATTCTAGAATATTGGAACTGGGGAGATCCTCATGGTCACCTACTTTAGTCTCCTACAAAGCAAGTAACTGACATCCAGAGAAGTTTCCATGTTGTATGGCGTTGTTAGGAAAGGTTAGAAGTGGAGCTCTGTCTTTTGGCTACCAGTCTAAGATTTTCCCCAAGATTTGTTCTGATGTAGTACAGGCAAAAATGCTGGGATGCATTTGTGTTCTTGTTGTAGTTTTTACACTGGACAGTTTCAATTCGATAGTCACAAAATACAACTGCTTAATTCCTACATTCCATCATCCTCTCCAATAATCAATATATAGCTAATCTTGTATTACTTATACTTATTATTTTGAGTCAAATCTCAAACTTCTTATTTCACTTATATAAAGATCTGATTTGCAAAGAAATGTAAACACAATCTCATTACAGATAAAAATCAGCCTGAGAGTCAATTAGTGGTCATAGTTAACCAAAGTATCCTTAAAAAAAAAACACCTGATTTTTGAATGGCAACTCCTTTGTACCTACTTAAAGATAATAAAGATATAATTAAAAAAATATTTTCTTGAGGGGGTGAACATGATCAAAGTACTTTATATGCATATATGGAAATGCCATAATGAAACCTCTTACTATTACAATTCAGTATATGCCAATAAAGCAAAAATATTTGCATTGGGACACAAAGAAACTGCCTACACATTGTGGACAGTTTGTGCGTCTGCTAATTCTTTTCTGATAAGTAAGTGCCACCTCCTAACTTGTTTCCCTTGTCACTTATTGTTGAAGAAACTACAGCTTCCTACAGTTTGGACTTTGCAGGCTATGTCCCAGTGTTAAGTTATATGTTGTCGGTACTTACTGTACATTGGTAGTTGGCTCTAAACTTGTTTAGATACAAATCTGATATGAGGGGTAAGGGTGGCAGTCAAGACCCCTTTCAGAAGTTGACATTTATTTTTTTAGTATATATTTTTTATCGTAAAGATACTGTACAGAGGGGTTACAGTTACATGAGTAAGGTAATGAGTACATTTCCAATTGAGCATTGTTTACTCAGAAGTTGACATTTATAACGTATACTTTGAGAAAGGTGCTAAGAATTCATTTTTAAGTTAGCATGTATGAATCATGTGTTAATTTAAGGGTTTCATTGTGAAACTTGCATGCATGCATGTAATGTACTAGATCAGATTCACCCCCCTTAATCTTTCTGCTCTCTCCTTCTTCCTTTTAAACATTTACATTTCATCATTCTGTTTTCACACGTGTGTGAAGTTCTTGGATTGCACTCAGTCCTGATCACCCTCTCTTTTTACCCTTACCTGTTTGGCTCATTCCTACCTCCAAACAGACCCTTCATTTTACACTTGTGCCATTCAGGTGGGTTTTTGTTGTTGTTGTTTTTAGGGCTAGAGCCTGCATATGAGAGAGAACATTAGATATTTGTCTTTCCTACTCCATCTATTTTCCTTCTACTTTTTCCATTTTACTCTCTGGCTGAAGCAGTAGTGCCTTTTAATGGACTTTCAGCTTTAGTTATAACCAATTCTGAGTTCTAAAAGACTGACAGCCTTAAAAACAGTCAAGTCCCATAAAGAGTAGATGTATGTAGGAATTTTAAAGGCTGGAGTAATTAAAGTGGTTTTGAAAGAAGAAAGCTGTGCTTTGTAATGGAGGGTGAACTTTGATTCTCTAGTTGGTAAGGGCAGTGTTTACAGAGGTATCACTTTGGAGACAAACTATTTGCTTCTGGTTTGCATCTGTTGTGTCTCCAAGCAGTTGGAATAGCATGTTAACACATGAACTGAGGGCTTGGAGGAGACAGCTCTGCCAGCAAACCTGGGACTCATCCATAGTGTTCTAATAATTGGTTGATACGATGATTTGACAAAAAGTCTCCGAATGGCTATCACCCTTGGAGTATGTGTAATTTAGCAGAAATTTGCTTTCTGTTTTGTATAAATTTCCTGCTTCTAAAACTATGATGCTATATTTTATTTTATTAGTTATTTATTTTTTTTTGGAGGGGGGTCCGGTCGTGGGGCCTGAACTCTGGATCTGGGCGCTGTCCCTCAGCTCTTCAGCTCAAGGCTAGCGCTCTACCACTTGAGCCACAGCACCACTTCCGGCTTTTTTCTTTTTGCTTATGTGGTGCTGAGGAATCGAACCCAGGGCCTCATGCATGCAAGGCAAGTGCTCTACCACTGAGCCACCTTCCCAGCCCCTGATGCTATATTTTAGAATGATTCATTCTGCATCATGCAGGACTGTTGAATACATTGTAACCGAAGAAAGCACTGTCAGATGTCGAAATGCACATAGAACGGTTAGTTTCATGGACTAAATTCACATTGTACATTTTAACTGGACTGTTACAGGGAAGCTATTCTTTGTCTCATGTGTATACACCAAATGATGTCCGTATGGTTCTTGAGTATGCCCGCTTACGAGGGATTCGAGTCATACCAGAGTTTGATACTCCTGGACACACACTGTCTTGGGGAAAAGGTAAGGAGTCTGTGTTTTATAAGTTGTAGAAAGGAAACACCTGAGCTTCCCCCCCCCCCCCCGTCTCTTATTTTGTAGTTTGGTGTTTGGCTATTTTGTTCCTGGGTTTAGGTGGGGAGGGGCAGTACTAAGGCTTGACTGAATTCAGGGCCTCATGCTCACTAGGTATTTTGTTCTTGGGTTGGGGGAAGGGACAGTACTGGGGCTTGAGCTCAGGATCTCATGTCCTCCAAGCTTGACTTGAGCCACACCTCCACTTCTAGCTTTCTGCTGGTTAATTGGAGTTAAGAGTCTCGGATTTGTCTGTTCAGGTTGGTTTTCAATGGTGATCCTCAGTTCTCAGTTTCGGAGTAACTAGGATTATAGGTGTGAGCCACAGTGATATTTTGCTCTTAATTGTGGTTGACACCATGGTAGCACTATTGGCACACGTGATTCAATAATTATCACATGTCTACTGTCAATAAGGCACTATGTTTTGATATTGCCTAAGATATCAAAGCCGGGGGGGGGGGGGGTCAGGGAGCAGGGAGACGAAGCCATGATAACTGACCTTCTGAATCAGAAAGTCTGGTGGCTAACACTTATGAGAGACCAGGATGCTAATTCATTATTCTGATAGAGGGAAGAACAAGAAGAAAGGCATGTGAAAAGTGAGAGGTACAGTCAAATCTTTTAGTGGGAGTAGAGCGTGGCCAACAGTAGGAGACTGTTAGTGGTAAGAACCAGCTGTGAAGTCTAGCTGCTTGAGCTTTGGATTCTGCTTTTGCCATTTAGAAACTAAATCTTGACTGACATATGTGACATTTCATTTTAAGTGCCCTCAACTGTAAAATGAAGCTGGTAATAGTAGCTCCTGTGTAATTTTTTTTTTAGGATTAAATAATGACCACAAGGGATATAGCAAAATACAGAGCATTTACAATTGTACAGTGCATTGTGTTATCATGGTAGGTAAGGGAATAGTGACTCTGGAAAAGTCCATGACCGAAGGCCTAGAGAGAGGCCTTCGCTGCCTGAAAAACCAGGGCAGAGGAGTCTAAGCCCAAGAGTGATCAGATGGATTCGTATTTTGTAAAAACCTTTGTGGATGTGATAGATTGGAGGGGGAAGGAGACGAAGTCCTAGAATTGGAGGAGGGGGTGGTATGGAAATGAATGGAGAGACATTCTGGAAATATAATTCATAGTGCTTGGCCTCTACTGACTACAGGAAAAGGAATGAGTCCCAGAGTTTTGTGTACCCTCGCCTAGAATAAGGCAGTCAGAAGCTAGAGAGGGAATTTAGGGAATGGAGACTTTGATTTTTGTTGGGTCATAGCTGAAGTACAGCTAGGATTTCCAGTTGAACTGAGCAGGGAACTTGAGATATGGATTGAAGCTCAAGAAAAGGGGTTGGAATAAGCTGAAGATCTGGGAATCATTTGAAATAGATAAAATCTCAGGGACTGGAAAAAACATCAAGATAGAAGGATTCAGAAAGTAATGCTCTTTCCTCTTGGAAGAAACTGCCATAGAAACTCTCAGTAAATATGCTTATCTTTTCTGTATAAAATCTCTTAAAACTTCAATAAAATGAAGTTCAGTTTGTCTAAGATCTTTTTGATTTTATGATGGTGTTTCCAATAGAAACCATACTTTGAATTTCAGTCTTTTCCTGTACAAATGTCATGCTGTAGTGACATTCATTCAACAGAAATGGAACCTACCTAGCCTCAGCCCCCAGTGAGCCACACAATACATGCTCTATTGTGTGGTGTGTTGCTGAGCAATGGTATTTGGTAGTTGAGGGGTGTGTGTGTGTGTGCGTGCGTGTGTGCGTGCGCGTGTGTGAATGCATTTTTGGCTAAATGATGTGTTGAGCTTATTGTGGAGTCATTTGGGACGTAATACTGTCATTAGTAAAGGAGCATTCGGGGCATAATGGATGATGGGCAAAGCCTAGACTTTGTTTGTATTACCCTTTTCTGAAAATGGATCTTTGTGTTTTCCCGTAGGTCAGAAAGGCCTCTTGACTCCATGTTCCACATCATACAGGAATGCAGAACTAACTTTTGGGCCTATAAACCCTATTCTAAATACAACTTACACGTTCCTTACGACATTTTTCAAAGAAATTAGTAATGTGTTTCCAGATCAGTTCATTCATTTGGGAGGAGATGAGGTGGAATTTCACTGTTGGTATGATGATTCTAAAACCTCTATCTTTTTTACCCTGTGGCATTGGAAGTGTAGAGATTAGGGGTTCCACATAAAAAAGGAAGATTTGGCATAATATTGCTAAACTGGACCACACAACTAGAGAGGTGGTTGAGTTTTGGAGAATGTACAGTTGGGTGGTGGGACCAAATAGAACTGAGTAGTGGCTGTGTTATACTTTATTTTCCCATTACTAGCTTGGGATGGTGGGACCCAATAGTCAATCAATTTCAATGGTCAAGACTCTTTAGTTGAATGTAGAAACAAAGATGGACTTTTGTGATCTAGGAATACCTTAACCAGGGTGGTCATAAGAAGGAGATAGGGGAGGATCTGGGAAGGTAGCTCAGTGGTAGAGCACTTGCCTTGCATGCATGAGGCCTTGGGTTCGATTCTTCAGCACCACATAAGCCGGAAGTGGCGCTGTGGCTCAAGTGGTAAAGCACTAGCTTTGAGCTGAAGAGCTGAGGGACAGCGCCCAGGCCCAGAGTTCAGGCCCACGACCGGACACCCCCCCCCCAAAAAAAAAAAAAGAAGGAGATAGGAGAATAACAAAAAATAGAGGGATAGCAAAAAGGTATGTAGTTACACAGGGGAGGGAAGGGAGGGCAGCTGAGCCACTTCAGAGTGAAAATGACAGATACTTGTCATCTACCATTTTGCCTCATAAATCAGCACAACTGATGTTAAGGATAGGTGCTGATTTCATAATACACAGTCATAAAGGTCCATCAAACTGTGAAATTTTAATCACTGGTTTTTGTTTGTTTGCTTAAGGGCATCAAATCCCGCAATTCAGAGTTTCATGAAGACAAAAGGCTTTGGTAGTGATTTTACCAAACTAGAATCTTTCTATATTAAAAAGTAAGTCATTTGAAAACTAACTTATTAATGTTTTCTTGAAAATATTGAAGCTATGTAGTACTGTGCTTTTGTTTATTTTCCCCTCTCCACCTCTTTGCAAAGTACAGATGTGAAAAGTCACTAAAGAAAGCGATGTGATGGGTTGGGAATGTTGCTTAGTGGTGGAGTGCTTGTCTAGCATGCATGAAGCCCTGAGTTCCATTCCTCAGTACCACATACACGGAAAAAGCTGGAAGTGGCACTGTAGCTCACATGGCAGAGTGCTAGCCTTGAGCAAAAAAGCTCAGGGACATTGCCCAGACCCTGAGTTTAAGCCCCAAAGTTGGCAAAGAAAAGAGAAAGAAAGAAAGAAAAAGAAAGAAAGAAAGAAAAAAAGAAAGAAAGAAAGAAAGAAAGGGAGGAAGGAAGGAAGGAAGGAATAAAAGCAAGCAAGCAAGAGATATGAACACACTGCATTCAATCACTCTTTCCCTCCCTTCCTTTCTTTCTTTTTCTCTTTCCCCTCCTTCCCTCCCTCTCTCCTTCCCTCCCTCCCTTCCTTCCTTTCTTTCTCTTTCTTTCCTTTCCCTCCTTCCCTCCTTCCCTCCTCCCCTCCTTTCCTCCCTCCCTTTCTCCCTTCCTTCCTTCCTTCCTCCTTCCTCCCTCCCTCCCTTTCTCCCTTCCTTCCCTCCCTCCCTCCCTCCCTCCCTCCCTCCCTCCCTCCCTTCCACCTTCCTTCCTTCCTTCTTTTTGGTGCCATTCCTGGGGCTTAAACTCAGAGACTGAGAGCTGACCCTTAACTTTTTAGCTTAAGGTTAGCATTCTATCACTTGAGCTGCAGCTCCATTTCCATCTTTTTGGTGGTTAATTGGAGATGTCTCATGGACCTTCCTGTCCAGGGTGGTTTTGAACTGTGATCTTCAGAACTAGGTGGACTCTATCTTTTGCTTCCTACCTATTGTTATACGATATAGTAGCCCAGTCCAGTCAAATGAGGTTTGTTTTCAAGTTAATTAAAATTAAAGAAAACTGAAAGTTCAGTTCCTCAGTTGCACCAGCACATTTTAAGTGTTCCATAGTGGTGAGGCTGGTGGCTTCCATGTTAGAAAATGCAGATACAGAACGTTCCTATCATGGCAGGGAGTTCTATTGGACCATGCTGCTCTAGTCTAGGGAATAGCAAACTGATCCCTTAAAGGGGCAGAGCTTTAGGCTTTTAAACAAAGCTATACAGGCATAAAGCCATGCAGAAAAGAAGTTGCAGGCTGTTCCAGTGATTTGTAATACACAAATTCCAACTTGTCCCTATTCAGCCTTTCTGTGATAGGATTTTTTTACTTACTCTGCAGAGTACTTAGTATTGTCTAAATGTCTATGCAGTTGTAGCCCATCAGTCAAAAGCTGATTGTTACTTAGGAGACATGACAGATTAGATGATGGTTTCCTTTATTCCAAGATCCCCATGAAATTACTGAGTACTGTTGGGCAGTTTCCTATGAGTTGCTTACCAAGTTAATTTAAGTTTAGTTCTTCCTGCTTTAAGGGTATACTTAGCTCAAGCACTCAAGCAAAGACTGTTAATCTCCACTACTATATTAGGTTCTATGCCCTTAGTAAAAAGGACTACTTGAGTTGCTACCTAATTTTACCTGGTTGTGCTATATAACTTTATTTATTTATTGGTCTTGATTTTGTGCCAGTATTAGGACTGTTTTGTGCCAGAGCCTGGGTGCTTAGCATTTTTTGCTCAAGGCTGGCACTCTACCACTTCAGCCACACCTCCACTTCCAGATTTTCATTGTTTAATTGGAAATAAAAGTCTTACAGACTTTCCTACCCAGACAGGCTTCAAATCATGATCCTCAGATCTCAGCTTCCTGAGAAGCTAGGATTATAGGTGTGAGCCACCAGCACCTGATACTACATAGCTTTTATACTGAAACATACCTCCCAAATTTTCTCCAAGTCCAAAAAAATGTGTGGTTTTAACCATGTTGTTAAGGTGAAATAACTGTTTTTCTCCCAATCCTAGGCTTTTGGATATTATTGCTTCTCTAAATAAGAGATCCATTGTCTGGCAAGAGGTTTTTGATAATAAAGCAAAGGTAAAAATTATGAAAAATGCATGTGATTCTGAAGATATAAGGATCTGCTGTTTCCTCTTCCTCACCCCTCCTTTCCATAGCTCATTATTACTCATAAATTGAAGGATTTCGAATTTTTTTTTTCCAGAAAGTTAGAACAGATTAAAAACAACTGAGCAATTTTATAGTAAAATTGTCAACGTAACCTTTTTTAAAAAATGCTATTTTTTTTTCTGTGACACAGTTAATATCCTTTATGTTCTGTGAGGCAAGAGAATTTGGTGGGGTTTTTTGTTTTTTGTTTTTTTTGGGTCAGTTGTGGGGCTGAACTCTGGGCCTGGGCGCTGTCCCTCAGCTCTTCAGCTCAAGGCGAGCGCTCTACCACTTGAGCTACAGCGCCACTTCCGGTTTTCTAGTGGTTTAATGGAGATAAGAGTCTCATGGACTTTCCTTGCCCGGGCTGGCTTTGAACCGTGATCCTCGACCTCAGCCTCCTGAGTAGCTAGGATTATAGGTGTGAGCCACCGACACCCGGCGGGGCAAGAGAATTTGTGAGTCACCTACTAGTATACTTTTCTTCTCTCTTTTTAATTTTTTTTTTATTGTGAAAATACCATACAGAGGGGTTACAATTACATGGGCAAGGTAATGAGTGCATTTCTTATCAAGTATTGTTGCCTCCTCTTTTGTTTCCCCTTACTATCCCTTCCTACTAGTACACTTTTCTAGAAAAGCTGGTTCCCTCCTGATTCCAAAGTAAGCCAAGCATTAGTGTGGGAGAAAAGGGACTACAATTCAATGTCAGCCTCAGTGCTAAGATGGATGACACCACACATGCCATCTATGAGCAAAAGTTAAAATATCCAGCTTTCAGGTAGATGAAGCTGAGTTCAGTGATGGATGAAAATAAACAGCACGTAGAGCCAACTTTTATAAAGAAATGGGTATTTTTTTCCTGTAGGATTTTAGGAAGTTGTGTTTTTAGCCAGCTATAATACCTTTGGACTGTGAATCCAACAGTTGCATTTGTAGTTCTAATAATATGTATTGCAATTTGTGTTCTAGCTAGAATGCTTGAGGCTGTCAGTTCATCTATTATATTTGCTAGGTCTAATACATGTACTGCACTCTGTATCTTTTACAGCTTCACCCAGGCACGATAGTTGAAGTGTGGAAATACGAAGATTTTTATGAAGAACTAAGGAAAGTCACAGCGGCTGGCTTCCCTGTAATCCTTTCTGCTCCGTGGTACTTGGATTTAATTAACTATGGGCAAGACTGGAAAAAATATTATGAAGTGGAACCTTTAAAATTTCAGGGTAAGTGACCACCATTATTGCCTTGATTGTTTTCTTCCCTAGCCTACCACTCAGGAAACCTAGCCTACTGTTTTCCCTTTTGTTTCTTAATTTTACCTAAAAAACCCAAACACTTCAGAATTATTTTAATGACCGAGATTAACCTAAACAAAAGGAATTCAGAAGTAGATCCTCTCAGATTCTGCCTCCAGTTGTCACTGATTTGAAAGATGTTTGGCTGTGTTCTATTGTAGGACACTTAGTAAAGAAATACAGTATAAGGCTATATAGTCCTTGCTATTTTGGGGTTTTTTTTTTTTTTTTGCCAGTCCTGGGGCTTGAACTCAGGGCCTGAGCACTGTCTCTGAGCTTCTTTATCTCAAGGCTAGCACTGGGCTTTTTATGTTTATTTGGTGCTGAGGAATTGAACCCAGGGCTTCATGCATGCTAGGCAAGCACTCTACCATTAAGCTACATTCCTACTAATCCTTGGAATTCTTGAGTCAAGGGCAATGAGAGGAAATGTCTGAGAGGTGGCGTCCCTCCTCCCCCCAAATCCTCCCACCTCCTGCTCCCAGTACTGGGGTTTGAATAGAAGGCATTCACTTTGCTAGGCAGGTGGCTTGATCACTTGAGCCTCAGCCCTTTCTGCTCTTTATTTGTTTAATCTTTTTGTTGTAAGTGTGCCAGTCATGGGCTTGAACTCAGGGCCTCGGTGCTGTCCCTAAGCTAGTGCTCTACTGCTTCAGCCACAGCTTCTCTTCTGGCTTTTTAGCAGTTAATTGGAGACAAGAGTTTCATGGACTTTGCTGCCCTACCTGGCTTTGAACCATGATCCTCAGATCTCAGCCTCCTGGATAGCTTAAATTAAAAGCACCTGCCACATGCCCAGCTTGCTCCCATTATTTTTAAATTGGATCCTTCTTGCCTTTTGTTTGTGCTAGCCTGGACCACAATCATCCTATTTTCCATGTAGATAGGATGACAGGTATGCCCCACCATGCCCAGCTTTTTATTAGATGAGGTGGGATTATTTCCTACTTTTTGTTTGGGAAATCCTTGCACTTTTGATCCTCTTGATCTCAACCCCCTAATGATTATAGGCATGAGTCACTTAATCTTTAGTACAAAATTTCCTTTGGAAAAAGATTTTTCTATGAAAAGTTTTAGAACTGTAGTACTATTAAAAGTTGATGTTAACTCCCTCTAGAAAGCATTCCATAGGGATCAGAAAATCATGGTTACTATAAAAATAGTTATTAGTTGCACACTTAAAAATACTAACAGGTATAAATTGGAGGCAGGCATTATAGCGGTCATAGCTCATTAAAATGTAGCAAGTATTTAACTTTTATCTCTCAGCATGCTGTTAGTGCCAACTAACTGGGAAAACTGGATTCTGGTATCTGAATAACTGTATAAACCGAAAGAAGCCAGGTGCCAGTGGCTCACACCTATACTCTGTGCTGTACTCTCAGGAGGCTGAGATCTCAAGATCACAGTTTGAAGCCAGCCTGGGCAGGAAAAGTACATGAGATTTTTTTTTTTTATTTCCATTAACCACCAAAAAGCCGGAAATAAATCTGTGGTTCAAGTGGTAGAGGAACAGCTTTGGGCAGAAAAGCTTAGGGATAGCACCCAGGCCCTAAGTTAAAGCCCCAGGACCATCACAAGAAAAGAAGAAAGTACTTTTAGTACTGGCCTACCACATTGTGTGGACAAATACTATGATCCATGTGGGTTAGGGGTGGGTCTATAGGAGAGGAATGTGGTTCTAGAAGGGGGAATTGCTGTCCCTGTGTTCTGGCCTTGCATGGCCTTGCTGATATCCTTTCAATGTTGTTACTGGAGGTTCTGAGACGCAGAAACAACTTATCATTGGTGGAGAGGCCTGTCTGTGGGGAGAATACGTTGACTCAACTAACCTCACTCCAAGATTATGGTAAGGACCTGGAAATATTTGAGTTATTAAGATGTCCTAGTTTCAGGAGAGCACTAGGAATTGCCCTAAGCATGTGTCTTTGAAACTTTGTGCAACAGTGATTCACTAGATAAATGTGTTGAAAAAGATGTATACAACTTGTGTGTGGAGATGGGAGGGAAACAGAGCAAGGGATGAGGTGACATTGTCCAAAATGAAGTGTACTTTTTACCTGACTTATGTAACTGTAACCAGCAAGGGATGAGGTGACATTGTCCAAAATGAAGTGTACTTTTTACCTGACTTATGTAACTGTAACCCCTTTGTACAACACCTTAATAATAACAATTAAAATTTAAAAAGAAACTCTTTTGGAGATACATGGTTTCAATTTTAGGCCTCGGGCAAGTGCTATTGGTGAGAGACTCTGGAGTCAAAAGGATGTGGTGGATATCGAGGATGCCTACAACAGGCTAACACAACACCGCTGCAGGATGGTTAGGTAAGAGAAACACTTGGATTTCAAGCTAGGATCCTCTCAGGTGTTAATGAGGATTCCCGCCCCTCCCCCTCCCCCCCACTTTCCTTAGGGCTAACCAGCTCTACCACTTTGGTGTAAATAGAAATGTCACCTAACAAATGGTAATTAAATTTGGAGAAATTGGGAATTGGTTTCTGTGTGTGAAAGAATACCTATAAGATAGCTTTTATGAGTGTTTTATAGAGAGCTATAAAATGTTTAGTGTAACTTATAACTCACTTACCATGTCAGAGAACTTAGTAGCTTACATCAATCTACAGCAACTTCTATTCATGTTGTCTGTCCTTCCTCAGACGTGGAATAGCTGCACAGCCCCTCTTCACTGGATACTGCAGCCAAGATCAAATCTAACAAGGAACTGAAACAGAGCAGGAGGGAAATCCCACAACCACCAGCACTGCAGTCATTGTGCAATCATGTCAATTAAGATGTTAGGCCTTATTTTGAATAAAATATTTTATTGATTGAATCTGTCTTATTTTACATTACGTGCAGAAGACTGGCATCATTCTGTGAGAAACAAAACAGACCACTGAGTCTTAACAACTCCAGTAATAACTTCCTAAGAACAACTTCAGATGTGTTTACTGTAAAAGAGCACATATTATTTTCTAAAATGGGCAGCTCTGGTGTTATTGACAGTTTAAGTTGTGTCTTTTATCCATCTCTGAATGTGCTAAAAGTTCTGGCCTGAAAGTGAAAATGAAGCAGGTGGGAGACGCTCCTGAACTTCTTTCCATTTCCACAGACCTAAAACACTTAGGCAGAACCACTTCTCTGGCTGAGCAGCATGCTTTGGTCTTGAGGACTCATGGCTTGATAAGAAGACAATTCTAAGGCAAAAGTTGCTGAGCCGGATGTGAGTGTCCGAAGCACAGTTGAATAACCCTAAGACAAAATAATTTATCTTTGTTATTACATCAACTTTAAACCTTCCGTTTCTCATGCTACTGATTATTTTTGGACTACTAGCATAGAAAGGTGGTGATGGTAATGAGGAGGAGGCTTACCTCAGACAGATCATTTCACTACCTTTTCAGAAAAAGTGGCTATGGAAATGTTGTGGGGACCACAGTCAAGTGCAGGAAGCTGCAGACATTCTGAGACCCTGGCACTTGTGAGGTGACTTCCCCCCATCCTCATGCTTTTCTGCTGATACCTTTGTGCTTGTCCAAGAGCAAAAATAGGTGGGAGTGAATACTGCTGATCTCAAAACCAAGGCAGAAGAGATAGAGAAGGGAAGTATGGTCATGCATATTGATGCTGCATTTTTTTGTACGGTCTCAAGCTTGTGGCCCTTGGCCTGGAAAAACCCCTGAAGTGCTGCATTTCTGCATTCCCTAGTTTCAGTGTGAAGTCCTCTCCATTCCTGGTGGTTGGAACTTAACATGTATTCTCTAAATCAAAGCACTGTGGCCTTCAGGTGTTAGCGGCCACTTATTTGTACTTGATATGCTTACTTCCTTATATTCAAAAGAAGAATGTGGTATACTTAGCGGAGGACTCCACAGGCTAATTACTCCTCTGAACAACTAATGGGCTATTTATCAAAATGAGTATCAGGAAGTAGAAACATGTTTTGTTGGGAGAGGGCAAAAGGGAGTGCATAGGAATGGAGGGAGAAAGGCTGAGCAAATGAAGTCAGTGCATTCAATGTACATTGTATAAAAAACTGAGCTACATAACTTGAGGCTAAGGATGGGAGGAGCATCTAGAGGAGAATGAAGGAAGGGAAGCATTAGGCTTATAACCTGACTTATGAAATTGTACAGCTACTACTGACTTACAGAATTGTACTAAAAAGTAGTTTTACAAAGTACAATAATTTTAAAAAGAGATTGTCCTCTTCAAATAAACAACAGACGTTCATTAGAACAAAAAGAACACATACATTTCAACTGCAAAGTACCTACCATAATTTCTGCTAAGGGAACAAATCCAGTAACAACTCTGTTGTCCTGGCGAGTCTGGATTTCCTGAATGTTGCCTCTTCTTTGTGCCAGGTCTGCCAGGACAGGGCTGAGGTGATCTCTGGTCACTGTAACTTCCAGATTCATCAGAGGTTCTAATACTTGCTTGTCAGCTTTCTTTAGAGCCTAAGCAGATGAAGAAATACGGTTAAAAAAATATATACGGCTAGCCTCTCTTTCATAAATTGGAAATCGAATTCCAATTAAATAAAATAATTAGATCATAAGATTTCAATTAAACTAAGATTTAGAAAAACTGAAACACTCCAGCCTAGGGCTCTGCCTTTACTCTCTCCTTTGAGATCATACTTGATTATTATTACACTTACTAGCCATACATCCAAAAGGGCAACCAAGAAGGCAAATGAAGGAGAGCTTTAAAAGACACCAAAAATATTCAACACAATACAGTAGAAGCATATTTTCTATTTGAAATAACCTTTTCTTCCATAACATTTGACTTCAAAGGCCAAGAAACATTCTCATAAACAAAAGGACAGCCAGCTGCCAGTCCTGCCTATAATCCTAGCTACTCAGGAGGCTGAGATCCAATAGATTCTTTTCCTCTTCATCTTTTCCTTAAAAATACCGCCTGACTGCAGACTTCCGAGACACTTTCCACGTGGCTTCCCCAACAATACTCCTCCAACTATGGTCTCTGAGTGTCCCAGTCTTATTCTCCACAGGTCTGTTGCAGGGTAGGGTCTGAACACCCCATAGCTCCCCATAGCTCCCCAGTGTGGCCTACACTGAGATCACCGTTTTGTTTTCCAAACATTTCCTTGCCTTTTTATTTCTGGTGATGGTTTTGGCAGTCTTTGGCTTCCTTGTCTGAGTAAAGAATCATCTCTATTGCTGCTGCCCTAAGTTAGACACAGTCTGCTTCTTGTCTTACGCTGTGTCTTCCTACTCCAATCACCCCTAAACTCTATATTTTCATTTTGAAAAACTTTATTCTCTACTATGTTCAGTACAAACTCAAACTCCTTAACTGTAGTATTTGAGACTTTTTCTACAGAGACCCCACTTTACTTTTCCAACACTATTTTTACTATTCCCGATTATCATCCGATACTATAATGAGCCTGCCATGCCCTCTTATCGTGTTCAAATCCTCCCAAATCCCAGCTCAGATGGTTAATTCCTTTTCAACAACACCTAATGCTCTGCTTCTCCATGTTTATGGCACTCTACAGATTATAATACTTTGGTTATATTTGATTCCATTCCCTTACCAAATCACAAATTCCTTTAGGTCAAGATTAATAAAATCCTACTATGGAGGGAATTCTCATGTCCAGTGAGCTATAAGAACAACGTTTTATATCAAAATAACAAAGTGAGAGAACTTCCATTAAGAGTATTCCATTTAGGTCAAGTCATGGTTGCATGCCTTAATTCCCATTACTCAGGAAACAGAGGTAGGAGGATTACAGTCCGAAGCTGACCCAGGCAAAAGTGTGAGACCCCCACCTGAAAAACAAACTAAAAGGCAGAAGGACTAGGGAACGGCTCAAGTGGAAGAGTTCTTGCTTACCAAGTACAAGGCTCTTTAATTTAACACCCAGCACTATGAAAAACAAGACAACCCTTCCCAAGTCCCCATCTAAATGTAAGCTCCCACACAGCTATTTCATGTTTTCATCTTTCCTAGGACTTGCACTCAGGGCTTGGGCACCTTCCCTGAGCTTTTATGCTCAAGGCTAGTGCTCTCTACCACTTCAGCCATGCTTCTACTTCATCTTTTTGGTAATTAATTAGAGATAATAGTCTCACAATCTTTCCTGCCAAGGCTGGGTTTCAATTGCTATTCTCACTCTCAGCCTCCAGAGTAGCTAGGATTACAGGCATAAACCTGGAAATTTCATGTCTTCTAATGTGATCTTACTAAAAAGCTAATTAACCAAGTTACGAACACACACACACACACACACACACGTGTGTGTGTGTGTGTGTGTGTGTGTGTGTTTGTGCCCATCCTGGGGATGGAACTCAGGGCCTGGGAACTGTCCCTGAGCTTTTATTGTTCAAGGCTACTGTTCTATTATTTGAGCCACAGCTCCATTTCCCACTCTGGTTAATGGGAGTCCCACAGGCTTTCCTGCGTGGCCTAGCCTTGTGCTGCAATCCTCAGTTCTCAGCCTCCTAGGTATAATCCTAGCTAAGCTTATAGGAGTAAGCTATCAGTGCCTGGCTTACAAACATTAAAAAGGCAGTATTTATAGTTTGGAGTCAATATATGGGGTTTGGGATTAATTTAGAACTATAACTTTTTGACGACTATTATTTCAATATTTAAAAACAACAAAATTAATATTCTCTTTCTCTCTCTCTCTCTCTCTGACTAGGGCTTGAAGTCAGGCCCTTTCCCTCTTGCGTGGCTTTTTCCATTCAAGGCTGGTGTTCTATCACTTCAGCCACACCTCCACCTCTAGCTTTTCAGACTCCTGAGCAGGGGCAGGTGTGAGCCACCGGTGCAGAGCTTTACTTTAAAATTCTTTTGTTTTTTGTGGATTATAAGGCTTTGAACTCAGGGCCTGGGTGCTGTCCCTGAGCTCTTTGGATCAAGACTAGTATTCTACCACTTTGAGCCACAGCTTCACTTCCTAAAATTCTTTAAATTGAATATTCTCAATAATATAATTATGACTATCTGTGTAAGTCTAGTTTTAGGTGAACAAATTTAAATAATTTTCTCAAAGCATAAGTTTTTTTACTTTAAAAAACAAAGCTGGTAGGGCTGGGAAGGTGGCTCAGTGGTAGAGCGCTTGCCTTGCATGCTCAAGGCCCTGGGTTCGATTCCTCAGCACCACATAAGCAAAAAGAAAAAGCCGGAAGTGGCGCTGTGGCTCAAGTGGTAGAGCGCTAGCCTTGAGCTGAAGAGCTGAGGGACAGCGCCCAGGCCCAAAGTTCAGGCCCCACGACCGGATCCAAAAAAAAAAAAAAGCTTGTAAGGAATTGTGAGTTTGGGGTGGGGAAGAGGGATATGGAAGAGTAGTAATGAGGGATGAATATGATCAAAATATATTAGATGCATATATGGTAATGTCACAAAAACTCAAATTGTATAATATGCACTCATAAAAATGAGAAAGAGTATGAATTTAGGGGTTGAGGTTTAGTCCTGAAATTGAGTAGCTCAGCATTCATTAGGCCCTGGGTTCAATAAAATCAAAGTATGGATTTGAACTCATGGAAGATACATTAAGTTCAAGGAAGGGTGCTTATGAATTCAAATGCAACTCAGCTCTCAAAAGCAGTTCAAGCATAAGCAGACAATAATAAAAAGCAAGTATTATCATGTAAAGTCAAGCATCCAAAATCTGGGGTATTCCATTGCTGACAATAATGCACAGGATCAGCATGTAGCTCTCTGCACTCTCGGGAGCTGATCCAGGTCTGCTGAATCTCTGAGACAGGAAGCCGAGGGTCCATGAACATTCAAGGACATTTCTTTTTTTCTTTCTTTTTTTTTTTTTGGGTCTGGTCATGGGGCCTG